AGATTTCGATATATTCTTGGGATTAATTATCCCAATAATCTCAAAAACCTTTGCGAGTTGTCTTGCGATCTCTGGGTCACTTCTTGTCCTGTGTATTGGAATCGCAGGTTATTTTGGGGCAAGTCTTCAATCGAAGGTAAAATCCATTTGCTAATCAAAGAAAATTAACTAATTGTTCCAATAACTATTCCCCATCAGAATCAATCACTTCAACTTAATTTGAATAGTCTCCTAGCTCGTTCGGCAATTGGAATCGAATACAAATTCAAGGTAAGAAATTACAACATTTAACCTTTCAATTGATTGATTATTTTGGCTTTGATTTATCAATTAGACTCTAGAATTACTTGATCGTCTTATACATCCAGCTAATGGGATCGCTATTGGAGATTCACTTAGAATCAGTAAAAACTTTATCGTCTATGTGAGTGATTCATTCATTAACTTTAAAAAATACTAATCTTAATCTTATCAAATCGTAATCTAGTTTATCCTGGAAAATGCAAGTATCGTAATGCTATTAACATGTAATCTAAGATCAGTTATAAATCAGCAACAATCATGATAATCTTGAGTTAACCGTTATAATTATAGTTAAACATTGACAGTAATTGTGAGTAAACATTGTAACTTAACCATCTAATTAAACGTATTGATCAACGACCTTTAAATTCAACGGTTTGAATTTATTTTTGCCAAAAATCACAATGAAATTAATTGATTATTTGAACTGATATTTGAAAATCAATAATCAATTTGTGTAAACAAATTATCAGTAAACTTAATGGCTTTTAAATTGATTATGAATCAATTACAGATTGCCTTACCTTAGATAATTTTTTATCTCATTCTGTTCATTTTATTCATGAATTCATGATGATAATCTGGTATATTCGTTGAGATGAGAACGTTAAAATTTTACTTGTTGTACTTTAAACGTAAGTTTATTAAGTTGCTTCGTGAATCGGTTTCGCCACCGGATAATATTACTGCTGAGACAATTAAACTGCTCAATAAAATAGAGCGATTTTCATTTATATTTCTCAGTACTCGCCGAGGATATTTGCAGAACTTTGATCAACAAATTTTGCTTAGAACTAGATTGGCTCACAATTTATTTCGAACTGCTTATTTTCTCATTTTATTGCGAATTGTTAGTTTGATTTTCATCAAATCTGATTTCTATCGGCTGGTTGCGGGCGATCTTCGTATAGCCAATCACGATTATGTGGCCTTTTTCTTAGCACTTTGGCTGACCATCTTATTAGTGTTACGCGAATATGTACTTTACCTCGAAGAGAGAGGAACTTTCAAAGTGATGAGGAAATACATTCAAATGCAAATCAATGGATTCGCAAGCGATTTTTTAAATTATCGTGAGTCGCGGGTTAGAAAATACAAACTACGATTCTACTTTATATTGAGAGTCTACGTTATTTATATAAGAACTTCATTCATAGTCGTACCTACGATTGTTTTTATGGTTAGACTCATTGATCCAACATCATTCTCATCATTACCTTGGATTATTTCATCTTGTTTTTGGGGCACTATTGAAATATTATCGATATCCACTGCTGCCTGTGCATTGGCAACGAATGGTATCAATCTGATTATCGTAGTTATAACTAATTATTTTGAACTCTCAAGTTTAATTGAGTTGAGTTTATCTTATGCTAAACATGATGCACATTTGGGAACCGATTTTACAATTAAATCTTTAACTCAAAGAGCAACCAAATTTACTAATGAATTTGTTCAGATTACTAAAAATCTCAAATACTGTACCTTGTTGTTCATGGTTTTTTGTTCGTTTCTTTCTGATCTATTCATGATTCTAAGTTTTATCATTCCAGTGATTTCAGATTCTTTTTCGTATTTTCTTATAATCGCTGGCGCAACTACGATAGTAAATGTAGTCTCGGTAATGCTATTGGTGGCAAATTTTCATTCGATGGTAAATAATATTTATCAAGATCATATTCGATAACTAATAATTATTCAATCCTTTGGTTATCTCCTTTAGGGACAAAATCTCCATTTTATCATATCAAAACTCTCAATTCGCGCAAAAACTCGTACTGAAACGAGTTTCAGGGTAAGTGGATTTCGGTTTTTAAATTAGAAAGCTGTACTAATATCGATTCAATTGCTTAGACAATGGTTCTACTTAATCGACTGAATTATCCTGATATTTGTGTGCTTGTTGGCGATTGGTTTAGATTCGAGAAACAAACCACAATTTATGTGAGTAAATCAACAACCAATTCCCAATAAGATTTACACTAAACTTAGGCATTATCTTGTGGGCTCACTTGCAGTTCATCATCGAAAACATCAGTATTGTTATGCTTCTAACCGTAAATCTCAAACCAATGATGAGATATTAACTGATTCCTGTTTTCAAAACCATTCGTTTGGCTCAAGAATTGGAAACAAAAATTGATACATTAAGATAAAACTTTTCAATGGATTACAATGGATGATAATAGACTGAATTTTGCCTCTAGCTATTGAAAATTCTGTAAGAGAACATAACCATGAAGGCTTTGATATGCCAAAAGAATGAAAATGATAGCTGATTTGCGCGAAAAAGCAGCAAATACAAAAATTTGAATTTCCTTGCATTTCAGAAATAAACTGTCTTTCATTTGGACGAAATAGAAAAGCACAAAACTCAAATCGATAATTTCGACTACCGATTAAGATCAGTGTCCAGTGATCAAGAGATTAATTTGAAACTGACTGCGATTATTTTTAATGTTCACTTGTTTGCTCTGTGAAAAATCAGATTCTTGGTAATTTAAATTATCTTTAAACTTATTCGTTCCCATTTTTGTGATTGTCAACTTTTTAATTCATGTTGATTGTTATCGTGTTCATTGTTAGTAGCAATTTAAATAATTTGATCTTGATTGATATCAATTGAAAGCTCTTATGATGATCAACATGAACAATTGTAAATGATTTTGGATCCCTTTTAATTGAACTCTTCAAGAGAGGGAGAGTAGGAGTTGAAGGGAGATAATATAATGATAATTGTAAGAATGATAAAAAATGATTATTAATATTCAATGTTGCAAAAGTTTCAAATAATAATCATAATTATTGTGAATTCAAACTTATTTCAGAATTTAATATGATATTTATACGATATTACTCAGAGACACGAAAACAACCAGGTAATAACTTGAATAAACTTTATATTCCTATTTATCTACACAGGTAAATGTCTATGGTTGAAATGCGGTTTAATGTTTGGTGAAAAGTAAAAAACTAAACCTTTGCGTGGGTAAAGTCACTTTCATTTCTTTCAATATACTTTGTATATTTTTGTGTCACTTTGGGTCTTCAGGTAGCTTTTAGTTGATAATCAACGAAATTGTGTGAAGAAAATGTTATCATAAAAATGAATTTACTCATTCCTATCAATTGAAAGGGGAGTCTCGCTGTGAGGGTGAAGGTGGGTGATGGTTCTAGAGGTAAAAAGGAAGGTGATAAAGGTGATGGTGGATTAGTTCAGTTGGAATTGTGGAGAAAAAGAATTTTTTAAATGGTGTAAAATGAGGGATCCAGAGGAGGAGTTGATGTACAAGGAGAAGAAGATATCAGAATAAGGTAAAGGTGCTATCAGAATTTATTGTCACGCTATTTCATGTTATTTATACTTAATAATATTCATTCAGAAGCAATTTAGTGACAAAATTTAAATAAAACGATGACCATGATTAGTGTTGCCTTTTTTTATTATACTTTCTACTTTTTGTCTTGAATTAGTCGATTTGGATTAAGAGTAACTCAGATTTACATAGATTATGTTTAAAGGTCTTCGAACTTAAGTTTTCAATGTTAATTGTTATCAAATTATTTCCAGTGGTTTCTCAAAATTAAGCTAATAGTTTTACAGTAACAACAAAGTATTAACAGTTTTCATGATAACTCAATTTGTGCCCGTGAACGTGATGTGATTCACTCTGAACATGATAAACATGAGTTTTTGTTCATTGAGAAAATTCAATTTCAAGGGTCAACTTTTGCTATTATCTGATTTGGGAAAAAAGCTTAACAAATCTCCATTCGTTCAAGTCTAAAGGTAAATAAATGTAATGTATGAGTCTTAATGGTCACTATTTTCATCATTATTTAAACGCATGATCTGAATTGTAATTGGAGAAACATGAAGTTTAAGATTTTACCTGAAGATAAATTTGAAAGAGAAAATATTTATAATTGAACAAAAAGAGATTAACATGATAATCTTGATGATGTTAACGAACAGATAAACTCACTGTCTTGTGTGAAAAGTTACATCAAATATTTGATCTCTAATTTGATTATCTTGATGATTTAAATCGTCGAGAGATTAAATTCTTGTGGTCAGTCTGAGAAAATGGTTTGACTTTCTCTCTTTGCATAATCATCATTCATCAGGTGGAGAAAAGTAAACATAATTAAGACTTGATTATGCTCAACAATTAGTCAAACAATTAATCATTATTAGCATTAAACGAAAGAGAATATCGATCAGAGAAAAAAGTTAATGTCAATTGTTATAGATTTGATAACAATATCATATATATATTGTCATCTTTTTTCCTCTCTCATTCAGTCTTATCATCATCATCGTCATCATCTTCATCTTCATCTTCATCATTCTAATAACTTGTTCAACAATCAAAGTCTATAAGGTTTTCTCAATGAGATTTCCTATTATAGAGGTAACATTGATTCCCTCATCTTATGTATCCTAGTCCAATGTTATCAGATTAAGATTATTATTTGAAACCAATCATATGAAATTCACTCAAGATAATCAATCTTGTTCAATTAGCTTATCATTCATTTGATTTAACTTTTTTTTCCACATGAAAATAGTATAAGACAAACTAATCTCTTAAATTGATTAGTTGACACTAAGAAAATGTGATGAGACTTGTAATCAAATTAAAAGACGATAATCAATTAACATGAACATGAAATGGAAAATAATAAATACTCACCATGAACCCCGAAGTATTGTCCAGTAAACATCTAAATCTAACGGTAAAGTTTCTTTCTAAATATTGCAAATTTTCTGGTCAAGGGAAAAGAGAAAAAAAAGAAAAGAAAATGATTATTATGTCATTAGTTGTATTCTGTTATAATCACATTTAATTATTTAATTGCAATCATGATAATTATGATAATAAAAGGGGCAATTGGGTAGTTTGGCTTCTCCTCATGCTGTGATCAGTAAATTGCAATCTAATTGTTCAAGGTTATAACCTTCAATTTAAGGGCAATCATTAACTTCAATGTTCATTATGAAAAAGGTTCAACTTTCCTATCACATTTGATTTATAGTGTTCATCTTCCCATCAAGCCTATCTCATCTTTATCTTCATCTTCATCTTCATCTCTCTCTCTCTCTCTCTTATATTTGTCATCCTCCTCCTCCTCCTCTCTTCCTCCCTCATCTTTGACGATTATGATGATAAACTTGTAGTTCTTTGTTTTGTTTTTAATTTGATAACATGGAAATTATTATGTTGATGTTGATTCTTTACATTTAAACAATAATGATCAGTTTAATTACCATTTACCCAATAATTTATGATAACAACATAATTCACCATATAAATTGTATAACATTAATTACCATTCACTTTCTATTTAATTCAATTATGCTTTTGACTGTTGATAGTTGACAAATAAATAATTGAACAAAATAACCTAATTGAAAAGGTTAATTCAGTTTCACTTTTATCAACACAACAATCAAAGTTAATCTTGTTGTTAATCTAAATCAATGTGATTACCAATTGACTGAATCGGATCAATGGAATCAATTGAATGATCCCAACCATTTGTTTACTTTACATGAAACTGATTAAAAAATGATGCATCTTCAATGTAGGTTAAAGTTAATGACAGAGTTTTCATCATTTTATTTACTCAATTGAACATATTGATATATTAATAGATTAGACAATGTTCATTGAACCTTGATTGATGCTACATCAATACTACTATTGTATCAATTGTAATCTATCAACAATATAAACTTTGATTTGATAATAAAGGTATCAAATAGTTACAACATTTTATTATCTTGTTCACTCTTGAAGGCTCATTGATTCATGTTTTGGGAAATTATGAAACTTTGGGAATAAACAAGAAACTCACTTTCTCTCAGGTAAAAGAATAGCAAATAAACAAATAAAAGTAAAAGCCTTTCAATTGAAACTTTACCGCGTTTATCCTGCTCATGGATCTTTAAACTATCAATGAAGTTTCACTTGAATGATCACAGACCAGAATCGAGAGTATAAATAATTTACTAGTTTTTTTTTTCGTTTTCGCCCAAAAATTATCGTAATTGCTTAGTCTCTCTCTCTCTCTCTTCTTATAGGTTAACATGATAATGTTCATCATCAGGTGAGCAAGAAAAGGAAGTTAAGACAAAGAAAGAAGCAATTTATCTAATTGATGGTAACAATGAAAAGACTAAACCTTTTTTTCTGTGTAACTGTTAACCTGCAATTTAAGTTCTACTTTGGTCCTTATCGATTAACAATGTTGATTATTTACCTTGTAAAAAGGCTTCTTGTAGTGTTAAGTTGATTCTCTCATTGGATAGATGAGAATTCCACATGAGGTGTCGCTGAAGCTCTTCTCGGTCTTCGGAATGAACCAGTTCGTAGACACTTTGATGGCATATATCCGACTGGAAGGTATTCGATCACAAACCAAATGGAAAGGTAATGATAATAATGAGAAGAGAAGAGAAAAAAAAATTAGAAAAATAATCGATTAACTTTGGTAGAATTGGGTGACATTTAGGACAAAAGGGGCGGGGAATATTATTTTTATTCTTTGTCTTCTCTTTCTTTTATCGTAAGGCGTGGCCATAGTTCATTGTATTAACCAATCATTAAAACTTTTTCGTATTCTTAATAACTTATTTCATTCGAGTTTTAATCATTTGGATCAAGAATAAATTAATATTATTCAAGTTCAAATTAGAAGAAAAAATCAGGAATTAAAATTAATGATAGTAATCATTAAGTAATGATAATGATTAGTCGTTATAACAATAAATCGATTTAGATTAATTAAGCTGTAAAATTATACAATTAACTTTCATTATCGTAAATCTTTCAGCTTCCGTTTTACAAATTTGCATATTTATCAATTAAAGATAATCTGACAAGATAAGATGAAGCAAAATCTTCAATTAACTAATTTGAATGGTAATAAATTAGATCAATTTTTTTGTATATTTTACTTTTTGTAATTTTTTATTGTTGACAATGAAAATTACTCCTCATAATCATGTTAATCTTAATAACAAAAGAAAAGTTTTATTAACAAAATAATAACTCGAAATGAGATTTAATTTAATCGTGGTTATAATGCTTGTTGGAAATAGCGTTCAGGTTATTATCTTTTCATTGAATAAGCAAACTGAACAAAAAGCAAAGTCTGACATTCGTACAAAAGGTTAAATAAAAGTAAGAAGAAGAGAGACTAAGATGATGATGATGATGGAGAAGGAGAAGGAGAAGAAGAGAAAGACCAGAGGAAGGAAGGAAGAAGAAGAAAAAGGAAGATGATGATGACTAGGAAAAGACTCACGCAATTCAACGAACCAAGAAATTAGTGAATATTTAAAGAGAATCAAAATGAGAGGAAGAGAAAGAGAGAGAATTTCAAAAGATGAGATGAAAAAATGAAAGATAATCATGAATATTTTGATTGAATTGAATCTCCATGTTGAATAGTATTTTTGATAAGCCAAAGAAAATGTGAAATTAAATTTGTTTAAAGTAAATAATAGTAAATGGTTGAAATTAACAAGAATGGAAAAGTAAATTTCATCTTTTCCTTTCGCTCCTTTAATTAATGGTTATAGGTTAATTAAGGGAATACAATTGAGGAGAAAAGTTTTTCTTATTTTCTCACTTTAGATCAGAAAACTCGAGGAAAAAAGTTATCAACTTTTTTTTCTGTGTTTACTCAGAAATCGATACAAAATCAAATGGAAAAGAAAGAGAAATAGAAGTTAATTAAAAAAAAACTTGAGATGGAGAAGAAGATGATGGAAGATACAGAGAGAATTCATTTTGTGATGATTGATGTCATGTCATCGGAAGATTGAATCGATCTCATCAACTCTCTTTTATTTTATTCTTCCATCATGATGATTACCAAAATCTGATGAAAAAAATACTCCAAAGATCAAGGTAAGGTCACAATTTATTTCACATCGAACCTTTTGATCGGGAATAAACAAATAAACACTAATTGACTTTGGATAATCAACTATTTATTATACATAATAATAACCAGTACAATGTATTAATAATGTTTATTGGAAATGATCATTATGAGTTCACCTTAATTGTGATCATTGATTGAAGTTACATATTACACTTTAAAAGACAATCTATTACAATGTTAGCCAATGTTTCGGTTAAAATACAAAAGTAAAGAGACTCATGATGATAATGATGATTAACTTGATGATGTTGATGTTGGTGATGAGATTAATCGATTTAATATTAGATAGAGAACTGAAAAAGTATTTGACTTAAATGAATATGAGGATGATGATGATAACAACAATAATGTTTACATTGTCTCTCAATCTTTCATCAATCATCAATCAGCCTATTGGCTTCTAATGCTTATTTACCTTACCTATTATTGTTATTGTATTATTACAAAGGAAAGCAATCAAATCGATATCCTCTCACAATAAATTTACCTTTCCTGCTTTTCTTTATCTAATTGAGTCTCTCTCTCTCTTGATTATCGATTATCTTAGTCAGAGTATATCACGTGATCTTATATAAAATTCTGGTTCATATTATCATGAATCTTCATCTTTCAGGTATTTTGGTTTATTTATCTGATAATACTGTTGATTAACATTCCAATAAGAAGTAGGATTGATTGTAACAATTATCAAAACTGGAACATTGTTTGTCTACATAACATTAGCTCCTCTTGGGTTGAATGAAATTGAAAAATGAATATTATTCAATAGAAACTGAGAATCAAATTATTTACGTGATTCAATCAAATTATAAATATTAATAGTTATTTACAAGCGAAATTTTGAGAAAAATTGAATAACCAAAATAATTTGCATCTTATTATATTCTTTACATTTGTTTTGAAACAATTGCATCGATGTTTACATAGACATGCAAATTATGTTAGTTGGGAAATGAACATGCGACGAGCAGAAACTCAATGGAAAGTAATTGTGAACAAGCGAAGCGTTTGTGAGTATATTTGCTCATAAGAAATTAGCTGCGATGCTGATGGTCAAGAAAGAGACGAAACTTTGAAAGCAACAAATTCTCACCTAAGGTGTTGCTTTTGTGTTGAGAATAAATTGAAGAGAAAAAGATTAAAAAATAATAAAGATAATTAAGATTAAGATTAATAACCAAGAGTTTGTGAAAAGGTTTCCCCAAGTTCATCAAGGGTAAAGGTTATGAAACGACCGTAAAGGTAAAGGTTGGATGGAAAATGTCAAAAAATGGTTACATCAAAGTTATAATTGTTAAGTGAAATTAAATTGAAGCAAATTGAAAGACGTTAAAACAATTAACTTGGTTTAATGAATTACGAGAATGGCCCATTAATTTAAGGAGCAAAGGTAACAATCAGTCAGCTCATTCAGTAGTTTTAGTCTTCTCTTTATTTTCCTCTTTGACAATGATTTATAACTTTTGACAATTACTTCCTAATGAGTTGCAACACTCAGGGCACCGGACGTACTGGTGGTTCATCTAATAACAAGACTTATGATGAGGCCAGTTTAATCTTGGCTCTTTCCCGTTCGCACTTTTCCCGCTTTAAATCTGGACTATTCATCTTCATCTTTTCCTCCTCCTTTCCATTAATAGTCTGATTGTTGGCTCTCATTATCTAATCTTGAACAAAGTACTTTGCTCACTTTTGGTCACTTTATCTCATGTTGACCAACCTTTTCATTGAATTACAAACTAAGGTAAGAGAAGCAAAGAAAAGGCAAGGGAAAGAATGATGACCCGAGTTGATGAAACTCATTACATTTGATCATCCAAACTGGTCACTCAATTTCGATCCAATTTACTCTCATCACTTTTCCTCTTCTCTTGATATCATCAAATTGAGACCTATGGTTAAATTTAATTATAGGTTATCATTATGTTCTAACTCTCTCTCTCTCTCTCTCTCTCTCTCTCTCACTCACTCTTCCCTCTTTCTCCGTCATCATCATCATCTCATTATATCTAATTGAGTATTTGTAATCTTTGTTTTTATTTCCACTTCAACTGACCAGTTGAAGTAAAAGTTTCAAATGTTTTATGACAAAAGGTGAATCCCGAATGCTCATCTTTTATGAGCAATTACTTGATTCATTACAATTATGTGATACCCGTTGAGCTTCAATTACAGTTAAAAGTTTCTGATCAACATGATATTGTATTAGCCTCTCATGTTAAATTGAGATCTCATTTAATTTATCATTAGTAATCAAATTGATTCGAATTAACTTTATTTATTGTTTCTTACTGGACTCAATTAGCTTAATGTGAACACTAATAAATAACAAAATGATCATTGGATCGTGAAGAGGAACCATTGAAATGTAATTAAGTCAAAAAATTGGTTAATTTACTTTAATTGTTGCAATTGTAATTATCTTATTAAATTCATTTCAAATCTTATTAGTTCATTAATCATTAATTTTTTTCCTCAACTTTTAATCTTAACTAACAGTCTACTTACTAGAAATACTGACCAACGAGATATAATTGTTATTTCAATTATTTAAATTGCTCGTAATCATTACTGATATTGTAAAGGGTTTATTATCAGTTTTTCTTGCTATTGATCAGTTATTACAATTACAATTTACAAATTGTTAGTACAAATGATTATCTCTACAAACCAATAAATCTTCATTGATAAATCGTAAATGTGATATAAATAATCAATTCGCAAGTAAAGAAGCAACTTTTATACAGTCTCATGATAATTACCAATTATCAACAATTACGATACAATCAAAAGTTTTTTTCTGCAAAAAAAACTTTAATGTAAGTTTATCATTCATTTCATCAGGATAAGAATAAGATTTACCATGTAATCATTATCGTCACCTTTATAACCCACCAAACCCTTGAAATGTTTTAGTTGATGAACATTTTCCATCCTTTAATTGACTTTATTTGACCTTAATTAACAATCGAATTTAAATTAGCGAAAGGAAGCAATTTATTCTAATGCACTTTGATTGTAAATTAAAGGAAGAAAAAGTAATTACCATTAGAGGGAAAATAAATTCATTTAAACTGATTGACTTTTATTCATCAATTGATAATCGAAATCAAATTTATATTGATCGAATATCTAATTGAAAATATTTGATATTTGATTGTGATCTCATTTCATCAAATATCATATTTTCATGGATTCAATTGCATTTTGATATTTTTAATACTTTGACTTTCTCATTCTGATAATAATCATGGTGTCGTTCTGAGTGAGAAAATAAGGTTTCAGGGTTGAATTTAACTTTAATTTAAACAGATAATTGTTCAATTATCCAAAGATATAATTTAGCCTCGAGGCTAATTAGTGAATTGAATTGTCTTGATATTATTCCAAACCTGTAACTATCAGTAATTTTAACTAATCAATTAGTTAAACTTTGATTGTGAA